TCTTACCCTGAGCACTGTCCAGTCAGTACAGTCCATCTTACCCTGAGCACTGTCCAGTCAGTACAGTCCATTCTTACGATAGAGATCCCATGCACTTTGTGTGAGAATTTTACTATTAAACTTATTAAAAACCTTTCTTTCTGCTGGGCACACCTTTAATCCCAGCCCTCAAGAGGAAGAGGCAGGCAGATCTCTGATCTCTGAATTAGAGGCTAGCCTGGTCTATAGAGTGAGTTCCAGGACAGTCAGGGCTACATAGAGAAACCCTGTCTCAAAAGACCAAAAAAGGAAAAAGAGAAAAGTTGTGTGTTAAAAAACCAACAACAAGGGGCTGGAGAGATGGCTCAGCGGTTAAGAGCACTGACTGCTCTTCCAGAGGTCCTGAGTTCAAAATCCCAGCAACCACATGGTGGCTCACAACCATCCGTAATGAGATTGAATGCCCTCTTCTGGTGTGTCTGAAGACAGCTACAGTGTACTCATAAATAAAATAAATAAATTTAAAAAAAAAAACAAAAAAACCAACAACAAGAAGGGCTTTGGCTGGGATCAGGTCCAGGAGCTCACTAGCCCAGAGAGCTCCCACCACTGGGCTTCCCTCACTAGCACACTTCCCAACTCAGTTCCTAAGCGGCACCTGTTGAATGAGGTTCAGGGCTCTCGGGGCTCAGGCCTCTCTCCTCAGACAGTGATCCTATGAGGCTGGCACTCAGGACAGGATGTGTGGGAAATAAGGGCAGAGCATCGGATGGCAGGGGCAAACGTCCCAGGCCTGAAAGAGCTCCCACACATGGTCTAGCACCAGACAGCGGCTCCTGAGGACGCTGGGATATGGCCCTGGCTCAGCAGCACAGAGCCTGCAGGGGCGAACACGAGGCCCTGGGCTCCGTCCCCATTGTTCCTCCTCACTCTTTAAAAAAGCGATGGCTATTGTCACTTTTTTTTTTCCTGTTTTTTTGAGACCGGGTTTCTCTGTGTAGCCCTGGCTGTCCTGGAATCTCTCTGTAGACCAGGCTGGCCTCGAACTCAGAAATCTGCCTATCTCTGCCTCCTGAGTGGTAGGATTAAAGGTGTGCAACATCGGTAATTGGTGGCCGTTGTCATTTTAAGGCCTAGTGCTAGGATGGGGCCATGTGTCTTTTGCGCACCAATCAGGAGCCCTACCTACCACTGGGCCTCTTTCTCACCCATTACAGGTCACTGTTTCAGAGCACTAGGCCTGAGGAGAAACACATGGGCAAACAGATCAGTTTTTCTGGAAACAGGAGACCTCGAGATAATAAAGTCTCTTTGCTTTTAGTCCCTGTAAAAGGCAGCCTGAGATAATCACTGTTAACCAATCAGCTTTCCCTCTGTGTTGTTTTCTTGCTGTTGCCTTCCAAACTCTACTGCTCTGACGAGGGCACTGGTTATAGAGCTGAGGCTGCCCGACTTGACAAAGCACAAGTGCAGCCAGTCAGGTCTGACGTGAGCGCCTGCGGGCTGTCTCCGCCCCGCACAGCCCGAGTGCAGCCAGTCAGGTCTGACGTGAGCGCCTGCGGGCTGTCTCCGCTCCGCACAGCCCGAGCGACCCACCTTTGCAATGATCACCTCCTTCCGCAGGATCTTCATGGCGTAGTAACGGCCAGTGGCCTTCTCCCGAACTAGAATGACTTTGCCGAAGGTGCCCTTGCCGAGGAGCTTGAGATAATCGAAGTCATTCATGGTCTGTGACAGGTAGGGAGAATGCACAGCCTTCGGTATTTAGCACTTGACCCATGGGACAAAATTGTAACAAGCGGAAACCCAAAAGATGCTACAGCTCAAGGGCTTCTAGGTGGTAGGGGACACAAGGCAACTCTGTACGGAAGCTGCAGGCAGGCCCAGGGTCTCCCAGCCTGAGCCTTACAGCTTCTTTAATAGACCCAGAGCAGTTTACCCTGGCACAGTCACTCATCCCAAAGGCACAGGATAGCCCCCCACAGCATCCATAAGGACCCCCTGCTAAATCTGTGTATACTTTGTGTGGAGACCTAGGCAGACAGGCTGCTGCAGCCCAGCCCCTGGCCGCTGGCACCAGCACTTACCACTTTGGCCCGTGCCTTGTTGACAGCCACCTCCATCATCTCAGACGTGGAAGAGTCACTGGGGGAGCCACACTTGTAATCCATGGCATCGTCCCCTGGGCCCCGCTGCTTCAGACTATTGGCGACCATCTGGATAGCCCGCATCCACTCTTCCCTGTAGGACACACACAGGTCCTAAGAATTCCTCCTGGTAGCCACAGCCCCACTGCCCTCAAAGGGCAGATGACCAACCCTTCAGCACTTGTGAGACCCAAGGCTAGCAGAACTGATAGGTCCTGACTAAAACTGTTCAGGCTTGGTCTGCAGAGAAGGCTGCGGCATAAAGACAGATTGTCTCCCTTCTGGGGTACTCTGGCTTGGGGGGAAGGGGAGGTTTGAAGTCAGGACACTGAGACAATCAGAGGAAGGAGAACATCTGTTTGAGGCCTTTGAGACTACGAAGTCACAACCATAGCTACCGTGAACGCTTCGGAGCAAGCGGGAAGCTCAGACTTACAGGCCGCTGATGCTCTGTCAAGAGAGAGCAGAAAGAAAAGGAAGCCTTGAGAGCCAAAGCAGCCAAAGATCTTATGAGGCAAGAGCTGGCCATCAGGACTCCCCACCCCCAGTACCCAGCCAGCCAGGCACGCAGGAGAGAAGCTGCTGGAGCGGAAGTCAGGCCAGCGGATGGGGCTGGCTGGAGGACACGGGAGCTAGCACCGGCCTTCCTGGGTTACAAGTCGCTGTCTTGATTTTTTTTTTTTTTTTTCAAGACAAAGTTTCTCTGTGTAGCCCTGGCTGTCCTGGAACTCACTCTGTAGACCAGGCTAGCCTCGAACTCTCGAACTCAGAAATCCACCTGCCTCTGCCTCCCAAGTGCTGGGATTAAAGGCGTGCGCCACCACCGCCCGGCTGCTGTCTTGATCTTTGCAGATCATTCTTTCTGTGAGGTAGTACAAATCACCAGAGATCACATGTAGGCATGTGGCTGCTTAACACTCAGTTGCCACATCCTCCATTTTTGGTCTGGCATTAACTTCTGTATTTTGCATGTGTATGTCTAGAAAAGGGCCTGTGAACAATGGGAAACAATGCTCACTAACACAAGCGTGTTCACCAAGGGCAGGCAGCTCAGCGAGAGCCAAGAGCCTAGAAGACCCCAGAGCTTCATGACCCCCTCCAGCCCGGGCCTGCACAAGTCTTGCCACTCTGCTAGCAGGAAGACTGCTGGCAAAGTCACACAAAGAGGAACCAATCCCACCCTGCTAGGCTGCTCTGCTGTTTCCATGGGTACCAGGGAGAGCCATGATGCGTCCTAGAGTGCAAACTGACACAGCTGGGACACAGGCCTCACAGTAAACAACTCATCTTAATCCAACAGGGTACTGTCATTTCCTGGTATTATCTACAATGGAATGTCTTCCATAAGGTGGTATGTTGGAATAATGTTTTTGTACACTGTATAAAAATTATCCTTATACTATCAAATGCTGACTTCTGTGCCCGCAGAGGTCTGGCTATAGGCTGGACTTCTGGACTTCGGTATTATGCTTTGGTGAAGCATGTCCTGCCTTGGTATTTTATAAACACTGTTTTCTGTCACCTTATGATTGGTCAAATAAACAGCTAAACGGCTAGCAGCTGGGCTGGAGAGTTAAGGCAGGGCTTCTGGGCTGACAGAAAGGGTTTCAGGTAGGAACCAGATGTGAGGGTGGCCATCGGACATGATGAAGAAGCAGGTGCCAGGATGGGACTAGATGGGCAGGTAATGTGCCATGTGATGGGAAGTAGGCTAGGTCAGTGTTCTTAGGTTAGACCGGCTGAGAATCTGCCCAGCTACAGTGCCTAAAGCTTATAATAAACATAGTAAGTCTCCGTATCATTATTCAGAGCTGGGGTGGGCACAGAACAGGCACGAGAGCGTATGTGGTGAGATGCTCATATGTGCAGCTCAAAGACTGAGATAGGTCTACACAGATTCAGGATGACCTAAAATACCCTACAGGAAGAAACAAGTGTCCAGCAGTGTAGGGGTCAGGCTCAGAGTTAGACAATGGTCTCCTCACACAGGGCTCAGAAGGCACAAACCTCCCTGCAGTAGCTGGTGGGGAGAACGACCCTGGAGCCCTGGTTGACCCTGGTTGACCCTGGATGGGGAACTGGGAAGCAGAGGTCCAGGAGACAGACTGATAAACGCAGGACACCCACTCCCCTCCCCACATCACAAAAGCCTAAACAGACTCAGGTTACATAAACAGTCACTTGGGACGGTGATGGGCTGCGGCTCAGTGGCAGAGGACTTGTCTGGCACGCCCAAGGCACAAACAACAAGCCCAGATGCAAGAAAAACTCATCAAGTTTGCTCCAAGCCTGGTCACTGGACTCTCAAATGACCTGTGGCCTTCCCCAGGGCCACTGGGCAAGAAAGAAAGTTCCTGCTCAGCCCCAGGCTTGCTGAAGCAAGCAGAAGCAAAGCTGTGGGGTTCCTAGTACTGTCAGGAGGTAGCTGCCTTTTACCTGTGAATTACACTTTGTAAGAGACATGTGACTTTCACACCATGCTCTGTGAGACAAGGTGCACAGACAAGTTTTGGCACACTGCTCCTCCCCACCCAAGAGACCAGAGGCCCCCTCAAACCCTTCAAGACAGAGGCTAACATATGCTCTTTGTTTTTTGAGATGCAGTCTTGCTATGGATCCTAGAACTCTTCTTTTGTTTTTTGAGGTAGGGTTCTCTGTGTAGCCCTGGCTGTCCTGGAACTCACTCTGTAGACCAGGCTGGCCTCAAACTCACAGAGATCCACTTGTCTCTGCCTCCTAAGTGCCGAGATTAAAGCCCACTGTCCTGCTCCTGCTTCTTCCCGCTCTTAATGGGACATGCCCCAGAGTCTGTTTGGGTGCTTGGTCGGTATAAAAGGTCCCCATGGCCCCAGAACTCCCCACATCGAGGCCAGTGCACACCCGGGCAGGGCAGTGCTAGCCTCTTCCCTTCCTGAGCGGATGTCTCGAGTGAGCTTGTCTCACTTGGTTTTAACCTGTACCCTCCTTGGATAAGTCACAGCCTCAGACCCAGTCCCTGTATTATATTCTTGTCTTCCAAAACACAGGACTTGGAGGGTGGGGGACAGCAATGACGATGAGGACGACACATGCTGTAGTCTGCTTTATATGACCATAGTTGTATACATGTTTGTTGTTGTTGTTGTTTTTTAAAGATTTATTTATTTATTATATATGAGTACACTATAGCTGTCTTCAGACACACCAGAAGAGGGCATCAGATCTCATTACAGATGGTTGTGAGCTACCATGAGGTTGCTGGGATTTGAACTCAGGACCTCTGGAAGTGCAGTCAGTGCTCTTAACCACTGAGCCATCTCTCCAGCCCACATGTTTGTTTTAAAACGCTGACTTAAACTGGCAAGATGGCTCAAAGGGTAAAGGCTCCTGCCATCAAGCCTGCCTCCTTGATTTCAAACTAGGACTCATACAGGGAAGGAGAGAGACTTCCTCCTGTAAGCTACCCTCCAATACCCACACATGTGCTATGGTGGATGTGTGCTTAAATGTAATTTTTAAAAAGTTTGGTTTTTTTGTTTTTTTTTTTTGTTTTTTGAGACAGGTTTCACTATGTAGCCCCGGCTACCCTGGAACTTTCTAACAGGCCTCAAAATCAGAGAGATCTGCATACCTCTGCCTGCCAGGTGCTGGGTTAAAGGTATGTACTCCCATACCTGACCAAAAAATGTTTTTAAGTACAATTTAGTATTATGATGGTGGACTAAAAATCACACATCTAAGCAGTATGAATACATAAGAGACTGTCATACACAGAGTTTTGTCATAGGCAACATAGACGGCAGAGCAAGCTGCACAGAGCAAGCTGCACATGGGGTTATTGCCCTTGCTGACAGGAAGATAGAATACAACTCAAAGGGCTGCTTCTGGTGAGACTTTCACACCAGCCGGGACAGTGTCTACTCCACATGTTCGTCCCTTCCACCTCTCCCTCCGGCCCTCACAGCTCCAGTCCACAAGGCCCTGGCCTCAGGAAGGTGTGAGGACATGGGCGGGGCCTGATCCAGTGCACACACCTGGTTAGAGCACAAGAGTCTGCACCAGGAGGCAGGCTGTGGTAATAGGCTCTCCCACCTCCTGACCAGCCACCAATCTGTTTCCAACTGGACCAAAGTTACAAGGTTGCAGCACTCAGAATTCTAGAGAAAAAGTGAGGGCCTTGGTCCAGAACACTCCTCAAGGGTTTGCAACATGGTGTCTGGGGCAGAGGGTGCCCCCACCCAAAGCTGGCACTTCAGTGCCTTCCCTCTCCTGAAGAAGACCCAGGGACACCAGGCCCTTTCCAGCCAATAGGCGGTATAAGAAAAATAGCAGTGGTCAATAGCAGTTCCACAGTCACAGAGTCACCCCTGGCTGGTGGGTGTCACACAGCCATTCCCCCCCATGCCAGGGACCCAAGTATCTATGTGAAAGAAGCTGATGACAGCCCAGGCCTCAATTCCTCGCTGGGGCTCAGGAGGATAAAAGGATAATACACCCTTGGGAATGTTCACAGACCAAAGGACACCACTCACAGAGCCCTGGAGTAAAGCAAAGGACACCTCCCCTGGGAAGCTGTGATTGAGGCCACTTTCCAGAAAAGACTTGCTCACTAAACACCACCACTGGCCCTCCCATTACAGAGACAGCTACTGTGACATTCCCTGTAAAGGAGCCCGTGGCTGCATCGGCCTGGGCATCTCCTTTTATAATGGAAAGAATGAGGGACACAGAGGCTGACAGATGCCCACTGACACGCTAACAAGCAGAGAAGGCAACACAGATGAACCAGGCCTTCCTGCCTTGCCTAGGAGCACAGCTCCCCATGAATGGTACTTTCCTGAACCTCTTCATCCTTCACCTGGCTTCTGGAGCCTGGGGAGAGACATCTGAGAAGTTCTGCTTACTCAGGCTAGCACACTGCCCTAGCTGGGGAGTTGTGAGCCAGGCTCGGACCATGTGGCTCTCAACAACGCACCTTCGCCAGACATCTGTCTCCTTCAGAAACTGCAGGTCCTGCTGTGACTGAAAATAGACTCAGTAATGAGGAGCACACTCATCTGGTACACTGCTGACCCTCTCCGAGACCAGGGGGCTACAAGCTCTAGGAAGGCGTGG